ATATTTGCTTGGCTTGTATCAATTTATGTTCTGAGTAGTCCAATAATTCCTTCTTTCTCCTTAAACCTCACCATTGAATTCATAGCTACATATTATTTTCTCCTCTTAGACACTTGTTTTTTCAGTTTTGTTGTCCTTCATTATATAACTAAATGGGCTTTTATATTTCATTGTTATTTTTCATAATGATCCCAGAACTAACTACCAATGTAATATTCTGTGGGGAAATCCTGCTAAAGCAAAGCTCAAACCACCTGACTGGTTGGTAGCCAGTCTCCACTAGTTGACCTCAGAAAAGTAATGCATTTGTGTTGCCCACCAGCTTTCTCACCATCACTTACTTTACTTACATATTTTGAGGATGAGGAATTGCCCTTGATCAAATTTAGATCTTTCCATACTCAATTTTCCCTCAGGCACTTCCCTACTTTGAGACATGTTAAATCCTCACAGGTTACATTTTGTTAAGTTAAGGATCAGCTTTAGCTTTCCTCGAAAAATGAAAATCTTTATTTTTTTAAAAATTAAGGTAAAATTCATATAGCTTATAATTTACATGATTGTGTAACCCTCACCACTGTCTGATTCTAGAGAGCTTTCATGCCAACAAAAATAAACCCTTTACCCATTAAGCAATGACTATACATTCTTCTTCCTTCCTACTCAGTACCTGCAAAGCATTACTCTATTTTCTATCTCCAAAGCTTTGCCTGTTCTTGATGTCTATATGATTGTACAGTAAGTAGCTAATTGTGAGTAGCTTCTTTCAGTCCATTTAATATTATTAAGATTCATTTATATTACAGCATGTAACAAGAACTTAAATAGCATTAATTTATTAAATACAGTGCTGCCTTTGCCCCAAACCCCACGCTAATTTAGAAACTGAGCTTGCATAGTTACATTAATATTAAAAACTTTGTAATTAAATTCAACTACACAGTGACATGTATTTTCATACAAAATGATGTTTGTAAGCTACTGAAAAAAATTCTTAAGGAAAATTACTCATTAGACTTAAGCAAGTCAAAGAAGTGTATCTGTATTTGAGGTTTTCCTGGTCCCCCACTTAACATAATAACATAAAGTTTGTTGGCAGAAATTATAGTTTATTAATATATTACATTTGATTGCTTTGACATAAAGGCAAATAAGAGTGATTGTGCTTGGAGCTTAATAGCTTAAAAATTCTAAAGTATGTAATGTATAACATATTAGCATTTTTTTACTCTTGACTTTTTTTTTTTCATTTTTCTTTTATTATTCATATGTGCATACAAGGCTTGGTTCATTTCTCCTCCCTGCCCCCACCCCCCTCCCTTACCACCCACTCCGCCCCTTCCCTCTCCCCCCCCAATACCCAGCAGAAACTATTTTACCCTTATTTCTAATTTTGTTGTAGAGAGAGTATAAGCAATAATAGGAAGGAACAAGGGTTTTTGCTAGTTGAGATAAGGATAGCTATACAGGGCATTGACTCACATTGATTTCCTGTGCATGGGTGTTACCTTCTAGGTTAATTCTTTTTGATCTAACCTTTTCTCTAGTACCTGTTCCCCTTTTCCTATTGGCCTCAGTTGCTTTAAGGTATCTGCTTTAGTTTCTCTGCGTTAAGGGCAACAAATGCTAGCTAGTTTTTTAGGTGTCTTACCTATCCTCACCCCTTCCTTGTGTGCTCTCGCTTTTATCATGTGCTCATAGTCCAATCCCCTTGTTGTGTTTGCTCTTGACTTAATGAGTGAGTAATAGTTGAGTTGTTTTCAGTACTGTGCTAGTACAAAGTTAATCCATAGTGAATATTTTGTGCAGGTCCTAGGTTGTTATAGTGGCTCCTGTATCTTAGATATAAATTTAGTCAGGGGACTGCACAGGATTTTCATATACAACTATGGTATGTACTTCCCATTAATTTGAAAGAGTGGGATACCACTTTATTTTTCTATCATAAATTTTTAAACATAGTTGTTTCATTTCCTCAAGAGTCCTTGATGTTTGAAGTGATTTCATTTTGGTCTTTCTGTAGGTGAGTCATGCTTTTAAGTTTTTAATTTTTAATTACTTGGGCACTAATAAAATTGGAAATCCATATCTAAGAAGAGTCTATGAAATCAGACCATGAGTATTGAGAATAATAGGTCAGTTAGAAGGGCTGTGTTTACAGGTATTTGGACTTACGAAAATCATATTGTCTAGCTGGCATCATTGCAATCACTATTGCAGATCCAAACTGCTTAGAGACATAGATCAATTATTTTATATGCAGATGAAGTGGTCATCTTTTGATAAATTTTTTGATATGGGAACTGCTGACATTGCAAGAAAATCACGATTCAGATAAAGAAAAAGTGAGAAGAAAAGACCTTAGAAATAATATAGTTTGATTTCCTTCTTTAACAGAGGCAGTATAAATTCTAGAAAGGAAAATTAACCATGTAAAGTGAATTACAGTGATTTAGAGTAACATTGAATAGTTCCTTCATAAGATGTTTCCAGTCAGAGTGCAACACTTGTAATGTGAGAGTAAAAATTACAGGATCTGATTTAAAAACAGAGCCTCGGGCTCACTTGGCCTTTGAACAATGCTATCAGTCTATTCTATTCTAATGCATGTAGCCTTCAAGAGTATGTATCTGTCTACTTTCTGTGGTACACATATTCCAAATATTAAATTGCTACATCATTCTTCTATTTAGCCAATGGCAAGGATAAAAGGTTGGATCAAGATGTGGGAGATTGACTATGATAGTTGCTTACTGCACAGATCATTCAAATACTGTACTTTGAAAATAATATTGTAATGAATCATTCATTTATTTGTGAAAAAGATGTGGTTTTGAGTTTTTTAGAGTAGAGAATTATTAAGAATTAAGCAAATTGGTTAACATAGATCAAAACATTTTGAGGTTGTAGTAAACATTTCTGTAGAATTTCAAGATACAAGCGGTATAAAGGAAATATGCCAAAGTATATTTTGTTATCTTTTGACTGTCTTAAAACATTCCAAAGAATTTGTTGTTTAACCTAAAATAATAGGGGGTGGACTTTATAGGGGAAGGCAGGAAGATCACAGCTTTGAGATCAGCTTGGGCTACATAGCAAGACTGTCAGAAAGAATCAGGGAGAAAGAAGGTTACAATTAATTGGAAAATAAGGAAGAAAGAGACTACAATTAATAAAATTAATTATATTTTCGACTTTCAGTCAACAGACTGAATATTCTGTTCCTTACTTTGTATCCTCTAGGTCTGGTGTCAGGGTCCAATAGGTAAATTAAATTAATGTGTATTTCTACTATAGATTATATGTATATAATACACACATATGCACAGTGTGTGTGTGTTTTTAAGAGGGAATTGGGTTAGTTTAATGATATATTTGCAAGGTCTACATTTCTGGCAATCCATTGATACCTCACTATGCTGCTACTAATATATTGCAGTGTTGTTCGCCATAACACTGCTCATAATAAAGTACTAATCAAAGAAAATAGGATATGGTAGAAATCTTTAAATGCCTGTTGCAATAAGCAAGTATTCACATACCACTTTCACCACCATGATACAATTTAGCATGTCACATTGTCCCATAAATGCTACCTTGAAAGACAGAGGAGACTCTAACACTCTCATTCTATTCAGAAATATCTTCAAAAGATTTATAATGGCAGCTAGAAAAACCTAAGTCACACATTGGCTTTTAGTTCTACAGTTAGAAAAGAAAATTTGGAGCTCTTTTAAATATAATTTTGTTCTTCAAATATGCAATAATATCCTCAACAAGCTGATTAAGTGCTTTCGTGATTAGAAAATTAGAGAAGAAAAAGACGATAGAAACAAGAATCACCCAATAACAGATGAATATTCTTACTTCTCACGGAAAAACTCTGTACATCTTTATAGAAATATTCCTTATCTGTGTCACATTGCATAGTAAATTACCTTTGCTGCAGTGAAATCTAGTAACACTAGAATATATGGCATTTTTATTTCATTATTTATTTATTTATTTATTTCCTATTATTTGACATAAATGTATAGCGCAGGTGATTTACCTAGCAAGGATGGCTCACTTGATTCTTGAGCAAAGTTTACACATAATTTCATATAGGAAGTAAATATTTGTATATATTAAGATAATGCTTTAAGGAGGCAAATTATCTGAATTCTATAAAAAGGGATATTTAACAGGGCAGAAAAGAGTGAAGAAGGGAAAGAAAGCTTCCTGCAAAGACTGAGGAACAGTTGATAATTAACAGTTGCAGCACCAGATTATCTTTGCTGTGGTTTCTTGCACTGGTGTTCACAAAACATCTTATTTCTTAAAAGAATTGAATCATCCACTCTAAGACTTCTCTACTTGCCAGACTCTCTGCCTAGAACTGTTTCCTTTTCAGTATTGCCTTTATTTAAAACTGAGATAGAGTATCTGTACCCAATGAAATCTTTCTCTTGCACAATAGAATTAATTTCCCCAGTCCACTTCATAAATGTTGTTGAAACTTATTGTGAATTACGAGTACTTAATTAATGCATGCTATGTGCACTAGAATTCATTAGTATAGGATTCTAGAAATTATTAGTATAAGAACAACTGGATTTACCATGAAAACACATCATTTAAATGTACAAAAGCAATTAGTCAAATCTTGATAAATTTTAATACAATTGAAACATTGAATGAATAAAAACCTCACAAATTTAGAAAGGTGAGGAAATTTTCTGCAGTGAGGTAGCACTATATATTAGTTTAAGACATATGATGAAGCATAGTAGAATCAGGGACTATAATATTTTCTGGTAATTGGGCTTTATTACAAATAATAATATCATTAAAATATGCTTTGATGTTCAGAATTAAAATCACATAATATATAGCATTCTCTAATAGAATATGTTTTTAAATTAAAATCATTGAGAAAGTTTTGTTTTTCATGCATAAAATTTTAGGAAAACAAGAATCACTATGCTGTGTGAAAAGGTTGTTGGACTTACATCAATCAATTAAAACCATCTTTTATTTTTCAGTTTTTCCAGGGCCTGTTTTACATCTTTGTTCCGTAAACTATATATTAGAGGGTTCAGCATGGGAATTAAAAGGGTGTAAAACAGTGAAGTCATTTTGTCTTGATCTAGAGAATAAGAAGTACTTGGCAGGAAATACATGAAGAGTACAGTTCCCTGGAAAATCGCTACTACGGTTAAGTGAGAGGCACAAGTGGAGAAAGCTTTAAGCCTCCTGTCAGCAGAGCGGATGTTTAAGACTGATAAGATGATATAACAATAGGAGACAAGAACACCTGAAATGGTGCTTAGTTCGATGAATCCAAAAATAATGAATATTGCTAATTCATTGACCTGTGTATCTGAACAAGATAGTAGTAAAATGGGAGGGATATCACAAAAGAAGTGGTCAATCTCATTGGACCCACAGAAACATAACTGGAATGTCAATGTCGTATGTATCAAAGCATCTGCCATTCCCACCATGTGAACCCCAGCCATGAGCAGGGCACACACCCTGTTGGACATGTGGACTGTATACAGCAAGGATTTGCTGATGGCCTTGTACCTGTCGAAGGCCATCACTGCCAGCAGCACACACTCAGCATCTACAAATGTACACGCAATGAGAATTGCAGAGCACAGCTTAAGAAAGGAAACTGATTTTTTCTTGCTAAATGTATCCACTAGCATCTTGGGTCCAATTGCTGTGGAATACCAGAGGTCACAGAAAGAGAGGTTGCTGAGGAAAAAGTACATTGGTGTGTGAAGCTGGGAGTCCAGTTTGATTAAAATGATCATCCCAACATTTCCCAGAATATTAATTAGATAAACAAATAGAAACAAGGTGAAAAGAGTCATTTTCATCTTAGGGTTATTGGTAATTCCCACTAGAATGAATTCAGTCAATAAGGAGCAATTTCCCTTGTCCATTCTTCTTTATCTTGTCTATACCTTTGAGAAAATGATCATGAAAATGGTAACTATACATTTTGTGGATATCAACAATGTGTTTATAAGGCAGAACCTGATTTGATGTCTCTAAGAAAGTTACATAGCCATATGATACTTTAAAAATATTGTTATCTATTTAAATGTATAAAGATCTCAAAGAGGCAGTTGATAAACTTTTATCTAAAGCTACATGGTGTTCATGGAGTAGGTACATGGCTTTCCACAAGTTCCCTATTCTGTGGGTCTTATTTTTCTTATCATATAGTACACTTGATCTTCAAAGTAATATGAAATAAACATTGATATTAGAGAGATTAGGCTATGTAATAGGATTAAATATTTGTTATGCTTCAGAATATTCACATTGATACAAAATAACTACATTATTTTCCTAAAAGTACCGTAACTGCTTCAAAGATTTTTCATTAGTTCTATAAACAAAAGCTCATTACTATAAATAGTAAAAATTATTGTCACTTTTCATGATGTATGTTTTCTTTAATATTTGATATGAAGTAAAATAAATTTTATAGACTTTCCTTTAAATTTATATTATGATTTTGCTACAGTACTCATTACCTGTTTGACCAGTGTTCTTGTACTCAAGGGTTGGTTTTTTTTTTTTCCTGCAAAGACATGAGCTAAAAAGAAGCAGAGTCAAAACAATTTACCACAAATATTTACAGTGAATTGTATTTTAAATGATATTTTATATTAAATTTGGAAATGACATGAAGGAAAATAAATATTTGACATATGGCCTTCAGTTCCTTTTTATTGTATTTTTGTATGTTACATACTTGTATGTCCTCATTGATATGAAAATTAAAATGTAGTTGGTAGATATTTACATGTTTTTTTAGTTGTAAGCAAATACTGCATGTTTTTTGGCAATGAGAACTGAGTTGATGATTTTTGACATAAAAAGAAGTCCATTCCATTTTCATCTACGTGTACTCACAGTTATGAAGAAACAAAGGTTTTCCTGTGTAGCTAGACTAAATAAAAATTAATAAATTTTATTACTTCGGTATTTTTAAGTTCACTCAGTGTTCCAGTTGGGATGAAAAATCCATTTAATTTTTAATGTATTGAAATTGAGTACATGTTAAATTAACCAAGCAAAATAATTCACTTTACAAATTTGTCAAGTACTTTTCTAGTTTTATTTCACAATTTTAGATCTGGAGATGTATGAACCTACTTGGGATGAGCAGGTGTTCAGTAACTGAACAGTAGGCAGATAGCATTTTATTTTACCAGTTACATTGGGACTAAGACTGAAGCTATTTCCCTCAGGCTTTGGTGATTAGTTATATTCCTGGTTCAGTATTGTCTCTTGCAAACATAGTAACAATTTAACAAGTCAAGCTTTGCCTCTTCATTATTATTAGCAAATCAATTCATGTAAGAGGAAAACTGCAAATTACTCTTTAACTATACAGTATAATCAAAACATTCCTTTCTAATCAATGCAAAAAATCTTATGTAATTCAAAGATCCACTCTACTTAATTATTCCAAATTCCTTTCTGTTGTCCACTCTTTCTTCCATTTGTAAACGTTTTCCTTCATCTTCTCAGGAATATTTCATGCTTTTATAGAATTACTTTATTTGATATTAGGATATAATACAGTACAATAGTCACCATTTTAAAGTATACACTTTTTTTAGTGTATTTGTAAAGTTGTGCACCCAGCACCACTATAATTCCAGAACACTTTCTATCACCCCAGTAAGAAATCCATACCTAGTAGCAATTATGCTCCCTTTTCCTTTCCCCATAATCCTAGAAGCCAGTAACATATTTCTGAGAAGCTGTATTTGTTAGCCAGGCACATGTGGCTCACACCTATAATCCTAGGCAGAGATCAGGAAGATTGCAGTTCAAAGCCAACCTGGGGAAATTGTTTGAGAGACCCCATCTTGAAAATACCCAACACAAAAAAGGACTGGTGGAGTGACTCATTGTGTAGGCCCTGAGTTCAAACCCCAGTACCTAAAAAAAAAAAGAATCTTGATATGGATGATAAATATTCTAAAAATAAGAGTTCCACTCTGTTGTAAAACTAAATTTGATTTGCCTGCAAATGTGAGAATCACTAGAATTTTTAACTTTCTTGTCCTCCCAAAATTCTCTATGAATAACAGTAAAATCCACCAAGAGTGAGGTTATATTTAACTATGGTGTTAGTTCTTATATCCATAATTGCTATAGATGTTGAAAAATATTCATAAACTTATTTCAACTTTTTGTCTACTTTTCATAATCTATAAATATATTTTGCCCATTTTTTCATTTAAATATTTTTATTGAAGTAATATATTTTCTCCAACTCAAGTGAGAACTTTGTCTTTTTTGTTTTTTTAAGTCTCCCCCAACACACTTAGGCATGGCAAAAAATAACACTGCCCAATCTGTTAAGTGTCACAGATTATTCCAGGTTCTTCTGAGAGTAAAGTAAAAACTCTCTAGAAACTCTTTAAAAAATATTTTGAAACACATTTCTTTTTTATTATTATTTTTCATTTATTCACATGTACATACATTGTTTGTGTCATTTTCCCCCATGCCCCACCTCCCACCCTCTCCCCTATTTCCCAGTCAGTTCCAGGCAGGTCCTGTTCTGCCATTATCACTAGTTTTGTTGAAGAAAAGAGACAAGCACAATAAGGAGGACAAAGTATTTTTGCTAGTTGAGTTAAGGATAGCTATCCATAAAGATTCCTAGCATTGCTTTCGTGTTATGACCCATGTTGATTCATCTCTAACTAATCTTTACCCTGGTTACTGATCCCCTTCTCATGATAACCTCTGTTGCTTTAAGGTTTCTGTTTTAGCTCCTCTGGAGTGGGGTCATCAAACACTTTTATGTTTTGGGTTTTCTACCTATTTCGCTACCACCCATGTGTGCTCTTCCCTTGTCATGTGGTCCCAGTCTAACCACAGTGCTGCATTTGCCCTAGATCTAAAGTCTGCATATGAGGGAGAACACATGATTTTTGTCTTCTGAACCTGGCTGACCTCACTCAGAATGATGTTCTGTAGTTCCATCCATTTACCTGCAAATAACAAGATTTCATTCTTCTTCATAGCTGAGTAAAATTCCATTGTGTACAAGTACCACATTTTCTTGATCCATTCACCAATAGTGGAGCATCTTGGTTGTTTCTGTAACTTGGCTATTGTGAATAGCAGTGCAATAAGCATGAGTGTGCAGGTGCCTCTGGAGTAACCTGTGCTGCATTCCTTTGGGTACATCCCCAGGAGTGGGATTGCTGGATCATATGGCAGATCTATGTTTAGATTTTTAAGAAATCTCCAAATTTTTTTTCACAGTGGTTGTACCAGCTTGCATTCATTCCCACCAGCAGTGGATTAGGGTTCCTTTCTCCTCACGTCCTCGCCAACACAAGTTGGTGGTGGTGTTTTAATGATGGCTATTCTAACGGGGGTGAGGTGCAATCTTAGTGTTGTTTTGATTTGCATTTCCTTTATGGCTGGAGATGGTGAGCAATTTTTCATGTGATTTTTTGCCATTTGAATTTCTTCTTTTGAGAAAGTTCTATTAAGTTCAATTGCCCATTTTTTAATTGGTTCATTGATTTTAAGAGAGTTTAGTTTCTTAAGTTCCCTGTATATTCTGGTTATCAGTCCTTTGTCTGATATATAGCTGGTGAATATTTTCTCCCACTCTGTGAGTGGTATCTTCAGTTTAGAGACAATTTCTTTTGTAGTACAGAAGCTTTTTAATTTTATGAAGTCCATTTGTCCCCATTCTTTCTCTTAGTTTTTGGGCTGCTGGGGTTGTATTGAGGAAGTCCTTGCCTATACCTATTTAGTTTCAGAGTGTTTCCTGCTCCTCCTGTAAGTAACTTCAGAGTTTCAGGTCGATATTAGGTTCTTGATCCATTTTGAGTTGATAAGTACTACAGGGTGATAGATGTTGGATCTAGTTCAGTTTCTGCTGATGGTAACCACTTTTCCCAGCAACATTTGTTGAAGAGGCTGTCTTTTCTCCATCATATATTTTTGGACTTTGTCCAAAAATGAGGTGGTATAGTTGTGGTGGATTCATATCTGGATCCTTCTATTCTGTTCCACTGGTCTTCATGTCTTTTTTATGCCAGTACCATGCTCTTTTATTGCTATTGCTTTGTAAATAGTTTGAAGTCAGGTATTGTGATACCTCCAGCATTGCTTTTTTGTGGAGTATTGCCTTGGCTATTCATGGTTCTTGTGTTTCCAAATGAAACTTTAGAGTAGATTTTTCAATCTCTGTGATGAAAGTCATGTAATTTGATGGAAATTGCATTAAACATGTAGATTGCTTTTGGAGCTATAGCCATTTTTTACTATGTTGAATCTATTCGATCCATGAGCTGGGAGATCTTTCCTCTTCTGTAACTTCCTCAATCTCTTTCTTCAGGAGTTTGTAATTTCCTTGCAGAGTTCATTCACGTCTTTTGTTAAATTTACTCCTAAGTATTTGATTTTCTGAGGCTATGTAAATGGAATTGTTCCATATATTCCTTCTCAGTTTGTTCATTGTTGGTGTATAGAAAAGCTAATGATTTTTTGTAGGTTGATTTGTATCCTGTCAACTTACTGTAGCTGTTTTGGTGTCTCTGAGTTTTTGGGTAGAGTTTTTAGGTCTTTAAGGTATAGGATTATATTATCTGCAAATAAGGATATTTGACAGTTTCTTTATCTATTTGTATTCCTTTTATTCTTCTTCTTGCCTAATTGCTTTGGCTAGAAATTCCATACTATGTTGAATAAGGAGTGGGGATAGTGGGCACCCTTGTCTCATTCTTGATTTTAGGGGAAATGGTTTTAGTGTTTCACCATTAATTGTGATGTTTAGCTGTAGGTTTGGTCATAAATAGCCTTTACAATGATGAGGACATTCCTTCTTATTCCTAGTTTTTTAGAGCTTTTTCATGAGTGGTGTTGGCATCTTTGTCAAAGGCTTTTT